CAGCAGAGGACGATATTGCCCTCTACTGCCCGTGCCTCCTCCGTTGATGACCATGTCCCATGAGTGGTCCAGCTTGTAAACTCCTTTGTCCCTGTTCATGGTCTTGGGTGCATGTCTACTTACCTCAATCGCTTCTTTGATCCATCTTTTGAATTTCTGTTTGTCTGTTTATGGACTGTGTGCTGTCCAGTGCATTATATGATTTTCTCTTGTACGGTGGTCTGTTATGGCTGATTTTTATTGTGCTTTCTGCTATTTGTTTTGCTGCTCTTGTGTGTCGTCGACTTGATCATCAACGGAGAAGGCGCAGGAAGTAGAGGCAATATAGTCTGCTGATGCCCGCTAATAAACGGAAGTGACACCACCAACATTGGCATTTGCTCAGATGTAGGAGGAAGTGGACGCCAAAACATGTCGACAAACGTAAAAACAAGCTCTTTTTGCTCTGTGTATAAGGAAGAAAAAAAGATAAAAACTTAATTTAAGCTCTTACGAAGCAAGCAGATGCAGGGGACTAGTTAGCTCAGTTTCCCTCATTTAATCAACTTTTTTTCTGCTCACAATGTGCTGATGAAGAGGCTACCTGTAGAAATACCCTTTGCTACACTTTCACTGAATTTAAAATAAGGTTGAATGATTAGACAGATTAACTGACCATTGGTGATAGATAGTCTGAGCTCTTTGACAATAGGGATTTTACAAGTAATATTTTTTCATTACATCACATTAAAACCTTCCACGTCAAATCAGCGCCTTTTCTGTAACCCTTGTTTCGTAGACACATACATATTATACATCACCAGTAATATATATGGCTATCCAACCACACCTGTAGAATGAGTCGAGGCTTTTGTCAAACTACTCAGAAATTCATAAAAATGTCTAACTCGCTGTTCAAAACCTCATTCTGTATCACTGACAGAACTGAGCCATCATTGACAACAACAGTCCTTTTACACCCATGAGGGTCCAATAAAAATACTCCAATAAAACAGTTTGTTCACAACAAGTCTTACCATCACAATCCAACATAGCAGATGGCTGAAAACATTTAGATTTCCCACAGATGCATCTCTTCCTCATCACACCCTACAACAGCATCCAGCATCTAACCTTAATCAACGAGCGAAGGGTTATACCCTCTGGCTGATAGGTCACAAGTTCCTCCACCTATTCTTATGTGTATCTCAAACCAATTGCAGCGGAGTATGTTGTTGATTGATGCATCAAATTAAATTAAATATTAAAAACAACAATCTCACGCATGATAATGTCTCATGGCCTGCTCCCGAAAACCGATAAAGAACGATTTTGGTCAGTGCAATATCTCAGACCCAACAAAAAGTCTAAACATCGCCCATTTTTTGGACTGACGAGTATCAGTTGCGAAAATTTTAAACACCACCCAACCCAAATTCAGTCACACTACAGATTAGGTTCTTTCTGAAGGCCTAACAACATCCTGTGCTCCCTTAATACAATTTGAGACACTCTGATACACCATAGCCACTGAAAAGTATTTTCATGGTGGATTTTTTTAAATATTCATGCTTACTATAGTTTATTAATGACTGCTACCATTCAAGCCCAGGTTTATGTATAAAACATACAGCAGGAATATTTTCAGCAACACCAGCATGGTACAGAGACATAATTATGGATAATGCACTGCACAGATGGGTACTTTTTACATTTAATGTCACAAATTAAGTAACAGTGTTTCTGATAATGTCCTCCTCAGAAACACTGCGTGATTCTGACCTGAATTAATCATGTGTCAAGATCAAGAAGTACAACTTATTGTATTTAGTGTTTTCTCCCTCTGCTGCATAACTTTTACTTAACTTTTCCTTGGCTGTAAACGAAACAAATTTCCCATTTGTGGGACTAATAAAGGTTATCTTATCTTATCTTATCTTAAGTACTTTTGGCATTTCTCACACATTTTCTGCACACTTAACTGTCAACGAGAAATCCATTACAGACATGTTTTCAAGTTCCCACTGCCTCTGTGTGACTGACAGCTTTGTTACACATAAATAATTCCTGCAGCTTTGGCCAGAATGTGAAATGACAGAAAAATAAACAAAGCGTCAGACTGATGCAAAGACAGCTGTTTCTGCCTAACATGCTGTCAAATGTACATTAAATCAGCTGTTTACGCGGTTATTGATGGGATAAACTGAGCTAACTTTAGAGGTTTGAAGTAGTATGGTTCACCTCACAAATCTCATCAATAATGGCAAGTCTGCAGGGAAAAGAGTTATGGAGTCGATGGACACACTGACTGGTCAGGAGGTTAGCAAGGCCTGCAACAATCAATAAACCCTGACCAACGGAGGCAGGAGTGGGATGGCTACAGTTTCACAAGTCCACAGAAAATAAATATTGTCATAGAGTCATGCTATTATTATTTAAATACAGATTATTTAAAGTAATAGTGATTTGTAAGTACAGTGCTCCACTGTCCATGAGTGGGAGTGAAAACAATTCTGCAGATTGCAACAAAAAATAAGCAAAACAGTTATAACTGTTTATTTTTCTACTTTTAGACACTCTAAAGAAGAGACTCATCTTTGCTTGTATTTACCGCAAACTCAGTTATTTAAAAGCCAATCACTCTTAAAGAAACACTGAAGAGTTTTTAACACTTTAAGATATTGCTTTCAAAGTGGTTTCAGTGAGTTTTGAGGTAGAAACTTTGCCAACTTGAGATGTTTATGTTTATTTATTTGGCAGACGCTTTTATCCAAAGCGACTTACAATTTATAACCTATAGGGCATGTTGTGATCTGTGAGGGAAACCGGAGTACCCGGAGGAAACCCACGCATGCATGGGGAGAACACGCAACTCCACGCAGAAAGGCCGCAGCCGAGTTTCGAACCTGCAACCTTCGTGCTGCGAGGCAACAGTGCTAACCACTGCGCCACCATGCAGCCCAGCCCATGCATCTCTGTTACAGAGATGTGACACCACTCTGCAGCCCTCTGCTGACCAGAAACTGCACTTAACACTTTTGTAACATGGGTAGGTACATTAGGGAGAGCTCTCCACATGCGTTACGACTGTTAACGGGAGACTTTGAAGTTTTGGCTTGTTTTTAGCACCCTCTAGTTAGTAAAATCAAATGTGAAACTCATCTCCTCGTTGTGCTTTTGCCTTTGTAACACATCAATCAAACTGCTGAAATGTCTCCCCAGCCTTCATTAGTATCTACAGGAGTGGTTCATCAATGAAATGAAATGAATCAGCTGTGTTCATGATCTAAAACATGCAATAGGCATTCTGGAAGCAGACTGCATGTCAGCTCCACTTTTACTGAGTCCAACAAGAGGCAGCCCGCCACTCTGAAGTTTCAAGTGCTGGGGGTCTGAGTGACACATAATTAATGCTGTAAAGGGTCATTTTAGCATATACTGGCTCAAGCAAATGATTGAAAAGTATGAAAAATTTGCACAGTGTGCCTTTAACGGTTTACTCTCCTGGTAGCAAACTAGCAGTTAGCTTTGTCAGTTTGTCAATTAAAAGCATAAGGTAAAGAAAAAGAGCAATCGTGCCTTCTTGTTGGCATTATGGCAGAGTTTGGAATAAAAAAAAAGAGAGTAATGTCTTTAGAGGCGAAGTAAAGTGCTAAAGCCAGAGTTAATAGCGACGCGCCCTGCACACGTTTGAGCTGAATGAGGCTACAAAATCATGTACTGATGGTGACCTGGCTTTGTTGCTGCTAGACTTGAATGTAATTATATTTTTGCCAAAAATTGTGGATTGTTTAATTAGTAGCTTGTTTACTATCAGTTAGCTTGTGTTAGCATTAGCTTTTTGTTAGCGCTAGACAGCAGGATGCGGCAGCATTGTTTATGACAGTTGTAATTCTCCTTTCAACCAGTAGGATGGAGCAGTGAGGAGACTCTTAGTGTTGCTTTAAATGAGAGACAAATTTAAAGAAAAATTTCCTTCTTTTGAATGATCAGAATATGAAGTCATTCTGGTAAAATGAAGCCTCCTTACTGACCGATTGCAGCCAAATGAAACCAACCGAGCAGAACAGATGGAGCCAAGGGCAATGCACCTGAGCTAACGCCAAAACTAGAAATGAAGAAATATAACAAGGAAACCATACAGTTTGATTTACTGTCTGCTGAGAGAAAACGGGCTGTAAAATAGTTAGAAATTTTCCTAATGGGACCCTGTGACTGATTTAGTATCATAAACCAAATACCTTAGGATTTAAACTATTTTAGATTTCAGATTCAAACTTAAGTCCAAAGCAAAAAAAGCCACACAGCAGCAGCTCCACTGGTTCTGGCAGACCACGGCGAGCTGTATCCCACTGAACTCGGGTCACAGGAGATGTTTGGCTATGAGCTGTCAGCTGTAATTTGGATTGTGAATCACACAACTCAGGGTCAGCGAGGTTTTCAGTGCAGCAAATTCTGATAAATTATCCAACCACCACAAACATGAGCCTGGAGTTATTGGCAAGACAATCCGAGGGAAACCAAGTAAGGAAATGGCTAGAGGTTAGTTTGTGTGTCCTAAGTGGGCCATGACACTGAAGGTGGAGAGGAGAAATGTTTCTTTTTCTTACAAACCTCCAACTCTGCAGCTCAGATTTTTATTACGTCAGCTTAATCGTTCGTTTGATTCTAATCATCAACATCTTCTTCTTTCAATTGGGCTCACATAAACACAGCTTCACTATAGCAACATGGTTTTGAATCGAGTAACTTTTTTCCATCAATCCCCCCCAAGTCACATTATGTAAGGATCTGTTACTGCAACAAAAATCTAAAATAATTCCCTTCCTATTACATATTTATCAATCGGTCACTAAATGTATCAAGATGCACTGGTATCATTGTGACAAAGAAGCTATGAGAGGCAATTAACAAGAAGTTAATCAACACGAGTTCATTAACATGAAGACAACTGCAAGTTAACTAAGCTAATTTTAGCACCAAAATCTTCAGTTTTCATACAGTTTGCAGCTCCCACTTACCCTCTCCAGGTCCTGTCGGAGGTGAGTGAAGAGTTTGAGGCGCCGGTAGAGGACGTCCTGCTCCTGCTGGGCCAGGTTGTCCACCTCGTCTCTCTTTAATGTGACCAGAGGTTGATTGAAGTTGCCTTTCCTCTTCAGCTTCCAAAACTGATATAAGAAATCCACCTACGTAAAAAAGGCCAGTTAATCAGTTGTGTTAAAAGAGTTTCAGTTTCCAGTCAGAAATGAATTTAAACAATCCCTGTCCTCATCATGAGTGACCACAAATTTGAAGTGTTTACATTGATGCATGAATAAAATGCAGAGAAAATGTATTTTTATTACAACCATCAGACCATGGGATGTCACTAGAGCCCTCAGCTTCTTGTTCCTCTGTGAAGACTGTGTGCTACAACACCCTGGTGAACTTCACATCCTCCCGAGCACATGCTACTTGCATACTTCTTGCCTCTAAACAGCAAAAAACTGGTGTTGCTTTTCAGACCTTTCTCACCATTGAGCTGTTGCAGCTTTCTGGCACCAAATGTGTGCTTTGTAGTTATTTAAAATGGAGATCCTATCTGAAAGAGAAAGGGCTTTTGGATTTACACACCTGTAAGAGGGGCAGCCCCAGGTTTTCAGCCACCTCGCTTGGGTCCACCAGTCGGTAAAACTCATCCTCCAGTTCTTGCAGCTTCTGTTTCCTCTGGCTCACTTTCTCCCTCTCCAGTTGGTCCCGCTCAGCTCGCTCTGATGCTGACACTGAAATCAGGTGCGAAACCGACCTCTGCTCTGAGTCGCCGTTTAGCTCGTGTCTCTGCTCAGCGCTGGTGGTGCTGTCGCCTCTGGCTGCAGCGTGTGCTCCGTTGACGTGGTTGCCGTTGCTAACGCCGGTTGAGCCGTTGGTTGCGTTGCCGGAGCTGTGCTCCAAGCAGAAAGACTTGAAACGCACCTCGTCGTTTTCAGCTAGGATGGTCTTCATCTCCAGGCCATGATCGAAGGCGCACGTCACATGAAAGGCCACAATACAGGAGGGCATGGAGCACTGGGGGAGAGGAGGAAATATCAGAACACACACACACTGATCCACACACGCACTCTTTTCCACAAAAGTGTCATTTTCTGTCAATTGACTCTGTCATCAAGGATTCAAAACAAGTGCAGCAAAGCAGAAAGACAAGCCAAGTCACAACAAACACAGATCTCCCATCTCTGCTGACATCTTGGTATGTGTTTCAGTGTGTGTGTGTGTTTGTCTGCACTATCCATTACAGGTCATAAGAAGAGGCGACCTCCCACTTAGCCTCCTCAGGCGTAGTGGGAGTCTGCCTGTGTGAGCCTTTGCGGCTATGAGCTGCTACATGTGTGCACGTACATGCACATTTGTAAACACGTGCACGGGTAAGTGTGGGTGCAGGTCAGTGCTTGTACTTGTCAGAGGAGTTCAACATTCAGCAGGCGACTTCTGCACTGTTTGCACGGGAGAACGGTGACAAAAAGCTGCCTGTTCCTGCAGACTCCACCATCTGGAAAACTCCTCGGTATCGTTCAGGCACAAACGATCCTCGCTCTCATCTGTTTTCCGATTCAGCTTCAGAGAAGCAGCGGTTTGATCAGATTCTTTCATCAGATACTCTAAAGACACGCCAGCCGTCCTCATGGCCTCCTTTTACTTCCTAATGTTTTTTTTTTTATAAATTACATTACTTGAAACACTCAAAAATTCTACAATTTTGGGTTCTGAATTTCATTATTTTTTTAAGATTTAGAGTTAATTGTAAAATCTTATTTACCTTCCTGCTTTGGCTTTCGTGTTGATTTAATCTTCAATATGCATTTATTAAACCACCAGGGGTTCTCATCTGCTTCTATTAGATCGCTAACATTATTCAGTTTCAGAGCAAAACACAAAATAATGTGTTCCTATTTGTTAAATGTTAAAAGTCCAAAACATAAAACATGCAGTTCATTTCTCTTGGAATTACATTATAATTAACAAAGTTATGGCATTCTGTGGAAAGTTATCCTCTTAGCAGCTAGATCAGAACAGATTAACAAGCTAACGGCTAGTCTGAGTGCTCCTAAGCAGATTTTTTAAATCCTAAACCAACTCAAGTCTGAACACCTTTATAGAAATTCATGAAAATCGGACTTTATAAACCTGAAATTGTCAGTTTTCATAGAAATCAGCAGAAGCAGACAGTTGATGCGCTTTTGAATGAACCTGGGATAATTACAACAGGGATAAAAAAAATATTTCTGCCAGAACAGTGACCATGTAATATGAAACTAGTGACTACTGTAAATAGGGTGAAGGTTTTTAAAACTGCCTTTCCGTGAGCTGCTGTGAAAAGATTAGAAGGGTTTAAGAGGGAAACATTTTACTTTGGTTTAAATCAAACTAGCCAGTAGCTTATAAGTCCAGTCAGAACGGTTCATTTCAATACAAGAAAAATTTCAATTCATCAATGCTTGCCACAAATACAGTTGTAGACAACAGGCTGAATTTTAGCTTAGAATTTCTTTAAGTTCATTCATCTAGTTATATAAAACACACTGATATCCAACATGTTATAAATTAATTAGCATTTATTTTTTGTGTGAAAAAAAGTTTAAAACAATTATTTTAAACATGTCCTAATTCTTGTGAGTCTGTTAATTACAGCACTAAGCACATTGAATTGCCTCTTTGTATGAAATGTGCTATATAAATAAAGCTGCCTTGTCTTGCATTTTAACATTTTAAATATACTTCTGAAGAATATTTTAAAGGTGAGGAACACTCATTTAAAAGCACACTTGGCAGTCTAGGCTTGCTTTGAGCACCCCCTAGTGCCCATTTAGTAGAAACAAAAGCAAAACCTATCTTCTCACTGTGTGTTTGTCTTTTTAACACCTTAATCTAACAGATGAAATGTCTCCCCAGCCTTTCTTAATGTCTACAGGAGTGATTCATAACTAAATCAAACAAATCTGCTGTGTTCACGATCTAAAAGATGCAGGAAACGTGCTGGAAGCAGACTCAAGAACTGGCACGTCAGCTCCATTTTTTCCAAGTCTATACAGGTGGCTGTCCGCCACCAAAGTTGCGATAATCTAGCCACATAGGGCGGTAGGGGTCTGAGTGACTTTTAGCGCACACTGGCTCAAGAAATTAATTTAAAAATATGAAAAAGTTGCATAGTATGGCTTTAATCAATACATTTGCAGTTGTCTCTAGTAGGAATGAATGCCTTGTAAGTCATAAATGGGAGGCAAAAAATAGCAGGGCACTGATATCAAACGCTGAGCTTCAGACAGCAGGATTTGGAGTTCTATTCCCAGATATTTGGACATCCCACCTCAGATTGGATACAGCAACGCAACTCTACCACTGACTTGCAATGCTGACGTTTTATCTTCACAAACAACAAAAGCCTGGGGGAGCTCTGCTGTGTGGTGAAGTTGATAATGCTAACAGTTAGCTTCTGCTAGCCAAGATGTTCTTTGCTGCTTCCTGGATCCTAAACCAACAACAGCCTTTACCGTAACGAGTCAAGATGGATGAGTACATGAATGCTAAATGGCAGTGTGACGCAGATCTGTCAGGATTTTCTAATCCTAGAGTTTCACCGTCTATCTTTTTATCAAAGCTAATGCAGGAGACAGGTGTAGGAGACTATTTTAATGTTCAGCCTGTATGAAAAATTCAGAGTGACAATTATAAATAAGAAATAATCTTTAAATTTGATTTTTCAGTGTTCCACACATTTAATTACAACACTTCTAACATTTAAAATAATACTTCTAAAGAATCTTTAAAAATATTACTTTCTTTTGATCTTAGAGTTAAGAAACCAGATCTAAATATTCCAATGTGTGGTTTAGTACATCGGTGTGGATGCGTCATTAGTTAAAAAGTAAATCTACAATTAAATATATACACTGATTTTCAACTTTATTTAAACATGAAAGCTCGCTACAACTGTTCTCACTTGTTTAGTGTCAAAAAGGGGAGGTGTGTTGTTTAGCGTCAACACCTCACTGTAAAGAATACTCATCTGGCCTTTTGGGGAGCACCTGCTCTGTTCTGGCAGGCGTTCATTAATTCATTAGGTTTCATCAGAGCCCACGCTGCATCTGAGCCTTTTTCTAAAAGGGCAACAACATGTTTGTGTGACTGCAGGAGGTCCGACTGACAAAATGAAGATTTTTAGTATCTTTTTCTTTTTTAAGAGTTAGTTTTTTTTCTTTTATACATTTACACACACTTTCTAATAATGTGTGTAAATGTGTGAAAGACTTGAGTGTGTAATACAGCGAAGACATGATTTAGTTTTAAAGAACAGCTAACAATAACAACCAAAGCACTTTGTTTAAACCAACTCAGCCTAGTTCACCCTCCTTTTAGTAAAACACTGAAAATGTTTCTCTGAACTCTTGTAGGACCCGCCAATGAAAAAATACTAATATTTTATCTTGTGCACTCAGTCATTAGCTAAACATATGTAGAGACCCAATGAGACATAATTAAGTACACTGCTCTACGTATCACAAACCAGGAGGGCTTGCTGATAAACGTGATGCAGGAGGGAAACTCACGCCGATATAATATTAGTGAAAATGAGAAATGGATTTGTTTTAAAAAACTTTGCAGCACCAGTGTTTTTAGATGTTTTAGTCATTGTGGTTACTGAACTGAAATAGAATTACAAGCATTTTATAGGCTTGTATTGACAATTAGATTAGGTTTATGCAAACAGTCAATATGTTGGTCCTTATTTTTCCAGCCATCTGTAATTCATCCAAACATGCTGGCAACCGACATCTGAACCAAATCCTGACTGATGGCAGTTCTTTCTCACACAATCAGTGCTTGGTGTTTGTCAGAACTGGAGTGTGTTGGTCCCCCAAATGGTGATAATTTGTTCCCAGAGCAACTTAGGTTTCAATTTTTCTTATACCAAGGTGCTCCATCATACTAGAAAGGTCACAGTTTAAGAAAAACTGTTGGATGGTTGGAGGAGTTCCTCTGGGAGGATGCTTTGGTACCCCTCTTTATTCATGGATGTGTTCTGAAGCTAAGCGGTGAGTGAGTCGACTTCCTTATTTGAGCACTCATGAACAGTCCCCGGATGCTTTACTGTTGACAGGACAGAAGAACAATGGTAGTAATCAGCTAGAAGGAGAATTACCAGAGACCCCGGTCCCACAGCTGGATAGACATAAAATTATTATCCACAGCTTCTGAATTTTCATTCTTTTAGTTTTTTTTAACAATCTGGAGAAGCAGAACAAATACATTTTTATGTGTCTTTAAAAACATTTTTGTAAAATAAATAAATAAATAAAAAAGTCAAAGAAACATTGAAAAAAATATTTTTATTAATAAAAAATTGGGATAATGTTCATTTTATTATCATATTTAAGAATCAAAAGAATAACCTTTAACAGCATAATGCACAGATCCCAACAGGCAACTTTGAAAAATATTTGTAAGTTTAACATGTTTGTAATCAATGTACTTCCTGAACAAGTGATGTTTTGGTAGATTAAGCAAAAGACAAATATATACATAAATTAAAAAAAACTTCAAGGAAATGTGTTCTCCTTTTTCTTCTTATTTTAATGGAATGCTGAGATATCGGATCGGGACTCTGTATTGGTAGATACTCCAAATCAAACGACTCGAACTCCTAACAACAACCGCACTAGCAATGGTCACTATGTGTTTTTTGAAAGCACAAAAAAAAAATCTAAATGTTTCTTCTCCTGCATTGTTTGAACGTACTCCTTTTTCTGTAGCCCAAGAACAAATGCATGTGTTAAGATAAAATGTATTTGATTTTGATATCACACTGAACAGCCTTCCTTTATGGCATAACTGCACTGTTTTGTTCGTCACACCCTTTTAAATGCTTGAGAGAAAAGTAAAATGAAATGAAATAATAATTGGCTACTTTAAGACCATATAAATTACTTTAGATCAGACCATTTATATTCTGATCAGTCAATTAGAGAAAAATTAAAACTAGATTAGCGGAAAGATGAAATCTTGAAAAGCAGAAAACTCGTTTATTTTTTTACATCAAGCCCTACTAAAAAGCTGTTGCATGTACGTGTGTGTGTGTGTGTGTGTGTGTGTGTGTGTGTGTGTGTGTGTGTGTGTGTTTGTACTGCCGTGCGCCTCCAGCTATAGAAACATGAGAGCGAGACTCCGTCCCTACGGGCAGCTCTGGCTCAAAGGCTCACAGTTAATCTACAGCATCAATACTGTCAAAGTAAACACTCCCAAGGCTGCACAAACGAGCACTTTCATGTGCCGCCCATCCTGCATGCACGTAAACACGCTCCGAGTGTTCATCCAGCATGCAGCTCACCTTAAAGACACTTTTATGCGTAAATAGCACACAGGTCAACAGCTGTAAAGTGGGTTAGTGAGCGTGTCAGTGGGGTTCAGTTTGTGTACTTAGCACATTAAAGTGGAACCACTTTCTGTTTGAGCTGGAGACCAGAACATCTTCACCATGCCGCTACCGGGACTGATCCAAATGCTTTTGGTTCCCTTCTTATTGTAATCTGTGATTCTTGAGTCAGAGTAGGTGAGGTTGTGAATGATTTTCAAATATATTTTTCAAACTAAAGTGATCTTATTTTAGGGAATGGTGTTGTTTTGGTCATTTTGGTGAAATCTAGAAAACAATATGTACATTTTTATGCAATTTTGCAAGAATCTTGCACAAGTTTATGGCAGTCAGTGTTGTTAGCTGCTACCAAATGAAATTTTAGCCCACTCGGAGAGATCTTTGCCCTTGCTAATGTCAATGAGCCTTCCCAGACATCAAAATTTCCAGACTTCTGTGAATCTTTCAGCCTTTTTTAAAGTATAAAAACAAATATATATACTGCACATAACAGTAAAGGAAGTAAAAAAAAAAAAAAAACCCACACAAAAAATGCTGAGATTCCAATCAGCTTATGGCCGACCAGCTTTAGGGCTGAGAAAACAACATGCAGCTATGAAAAATAAAACATCAAACAAATTCCAAGTTTACTGTTTGAGCCGTCTGGTTTGAGAAAAAATAGTTTGTGTCCATTACAAAATTATAATAATTATAATATATTATTAATGACAAATAATAAAAGAGATCCTGGGAAAAATGACTCCTTTTTCTGTATAAATAATGGGAATATGACCGGATTAGTTTGTGACTTATTCTCTGGTTTATTACAGCTGCGCTTCATGCAGCCTACACCAACACCATCTGACTGGATGACACAGACGAGTTTGTTTACTCCATAAACCAGGTCACGGAGACACGCCTAATCATCTTTTACATGGCATTTGAAAGGTTTGCTCAGAAATCTTGACAGTTTAATTAAGACAAGGTTTACGGTACAACACTGATGCAGCGTTGAACTTTTCATGCCTCCTCTAGCTGAGGCTTTTGCAGATTGCATGAGAGAAGCAGCAGCAAAGATAGAAAACACAATTATACGTGGCTTTCTGGTTAAGAAGAATGTAATATAACAGGAAAATAATCACATCCTTCTTCCAGGATTCAAGCTTGACCTAAGGGTAATGTTGCTTTGGATAAGAAAAGTAAATGAATAAAAAACGTGTTGTCGTTTCACTTCAGAAACCGAGTTCAGGTGCATGTTGAGCGTACCTGGATGCAGGTTCCTGTGTGTTCTCGACACAGGCTGCAGGACAGAGCCCAGCGGCTGGCAGGGATGTGGGACACCTTGGTAATGGGCTCCATCTTCTCTGGACAGCCTATACTCACCTAAAAGAACCAGATAACAGCATGACTTAACAAAAGCACTTAAGACTAGTTTTCGCAAATGAAGGAGGTTTAATTAACTTCTGAACTTCTAGTTTTAGCGCAATTTAAAGAAACCCCATTATTCAGTTCACATTTGAGCCCACAAATCAAATATCCAACAAAACCCTACGTAATCAAGGACCCACACTGACGTTCATCTAGAATCACAAAAAATATACTCCACCTTTAGGACTATCTTATTAGTGAACGCGCACCTCTAGCCAAGCAACAGAGCTTTATGATTATTCCTAAATTGTGCCATCTCTTCATAATTAGATATTTTAAAGACTTACTAGTCCATAATGTTGCCAACTCTGGATCTGTCCAGGTACTTCCATTAACATGTGTGCACGTTCTATGACTGACATTTGTACGTACGGTGTATGGTTCCTGCTAACTCTGCCTTATTGGTAGTTATTTTTAATAACTGGTCTGTTAAGAATAGTTATTGTTCTAGCTTTTTCTTCTCTTTTTCTTTTTTCATTGATACGTCTGATTGTGTACTGGATCCACCTACATTATCATGATTACTACATATGCCCATAGCTAAATACCATTGGTGAGCCACAGCTTAGCAGGACTTCTTTTTTCTTTTTCTTTTTGGTTTGTATTGTGATTATTTCATAATTATGTAAACAACTCTGCAGTCTTGTTTGTTATTTTTGGTTGTATGATCTGAGGACCTGCTGGAAAATGAGATGCCACATCTCAAGCAGTTTCTATCCTCATAAAATATAAGTTAAATAAATAAAATAAAATTTATGCGGATGTCTAACGCTATTGGCTAATGCTGAACAGCGCTCAATTAAAATTACATGAGGCTCTATAGAATAGGGGAGGGTGCAGTAAAAAAAAGACTTATTGCCTACATTTGATCACAAGACATAGTAAGATGATCACTTTCATGGATTTCTAAAATATCATACATAATTGTTGTATTTTACGTTAGTTGGGCAGGCTTAATGCTAACGCTGCAACTGAGAAAAACAATAAAGTTGGCGTCGACTCAGGAACCGTTTGAAACGGCTTTGGCATCAACTTAGGACTATTTAGACTTGGGCTTTTCTTTGAGACATGAGCAAATAGAGCTATTTAAGTCCTTTATTTTGAAAAAGGATGCATTTTCTTTTTCTTCAACGGTGTGTGGCAGAATGCCCCGCTGACTGACATCTGTAGAGAGGAGTACATCACGTTGTTCGTTGCTCTGATGGGTTGCTTGCGCTGACCAATCGCGTGCAGAGACAGTTTGAATGACAACTGTAGATTATGCTCCAAAAAATGAGCTGTTTCGAAGGTTCTTGGCCAGATTATATTTACATATATAGAATGTCTTGCCAGGCTAACGTAATTGCTGAAAGGGGGGAAAACTCCAGAATGAAAATCATCATTTTTAAAACACAACCTTTGATTTAAGCACTAAAAATGTAAAGTGTCCTTGGACTCAGAACGTGGAAAGTGCTCCTGTAACAAAACTGAGTGACTCATTCCCTCTCAGAGGTCCTTTCAGTGCAGCTTTGGTCCCAGAACTCCCTTCACTAAACAACCAAGAATTCATTGACTAGTACCAGCTGCCCCTGAGAGCACTTATCACCAAAGTGCCATTTCTTCCTCCCATCCTTTGCTTCCTCCACATCCGATTTCTTTCCTAAAAAATTCTACTCCTTTCACATTTGGTTAATTTCATATTTGAAGCAGGGTCTTCCTGATTCTTGCGCGAACGAATGACTTCCGCAGGTCATGCCTTTACTCTTTTGACCCACTTGTCCTCTAGTGAGAGTTGGGTTTTTTTTCCTTTTGTGCTTGAAGAACAAATCCTTAACTTCTGCAAGCACCACAAAAATCTTTTGTTGAAAATGAAAGACTTCTTGTGAGGTTGCTTTTGTTTGCTGCCTCTTTTTGTGTGTGCACGTGCAGGCTGTTAACGTGCTCACCCATTTTCTAGCACCTGTTTCTTGACATTTCAAAGCAAAACAAATAAAAAATGGTGAAAATTTGACCTCAGTTCATCAGAAATGGGTGGAAACAAAGTGTTGAATAGAAATATACTCTGTGTGCACCACTTACAGAGATCTCTCAATGGGAGATAAAAATGCAGAAAAAATAGTTCAGAGGGGGGTGATTAATAAAAAAATGTTTTTTTAAAGAAACTAGAACTTTATTCACATAACAAATTTCCAAAATCATTAAAAGGACTCATTACTAGGGCTGAACGATTAATTGGAGATTAGGAAAAGGAGATTTTCTAATCGCAAAGGCTGCAATTTGACTGGCAGCAAGTGTTTAGCACAATAATAATATACATGGAAAAACCCATAGGGATGCTAATGTTAATATCGCCGATTACATTCTTACAAATTACGAATTAGTAACGTGCTGAATGATTACATTTGGAGTCTAAGACAAAGTAAAAACTGCCATCAATCAAATAAGTACAGACAGACATTTTAGTAAAGCTCGAAAACCGTAAGAGACTTCAACTCCACGGAGTTTTGGCTAGCATCTATGGATGTAACTGAACTACGGAAGCTCTGAATGGACAAGACATCAAAAACTCTAAACACAAGACTTCAATAAATGGAACACACTTATTTCCTGCAAATACATTTTCACAGTTGATGCCAATACCTGTGCTTCTTCAAGGGATGTGCACCTTCACATACAAAATGTTGTCTTTACTTGTGAGTGTTTATGTATATGTAGACAAATAAACTTGTTTATACTCTTAAAAATGCTGTGTTATTTTTCTAACCCAACTGCTGGGTTAAGGCTGAATTCTTAGGGGTTGGGTCAATTTAACACATCATTGGGTTAAAAATTCTGACCCAGCGTATTGGGTTAAAAAAGGCGGGAAATAGTAAGATCCTCCCCCTTGTCTGTGAGCCCGCTTCACTATTTTAAACCAGAGGATGACACGGACATTAATGGAGCTTCACACCAGCAAGGATTTAAAATAAGGTAAGATGTTACTAATAATGAGTTTAAAGATTAATTTAATTAAAACTATTGACAGCAGGACATGTAGTTGATAAAGTAACAGATTTTTAGCCTGTCTGTTCAAGACAACCGACTCATAGTTTAGATTAGGTAGCTGGCTACTTAGCTTCCTAGCATCGATATATATATATATATATATATATATATACATATATATGGCAAGCCAAATGAGCATTTATTCTGATATCAGGATATCAGCCAGAATTGTCATGAACATGTAAGCCATTTCTGTCCACTAGTTAACTAGTTAGACATGTTTGTGTCAACTAGTTAAATATCGAGGGTGAAAATGTGCCCACTAGTTAACTAGTGACAGCAGAAATGCGCACTAGTTAACTAGTGAACACATTTAGGCTTCAGTAGTTAACTAGTTGACACAAAAACTGCTCACTAGTTAACTAGTAAAAGCAGAAATGCATAGCAGTCAGCTACTTGAAGGTATTTGTCTCACTAGTTAACTAGTGAGGGTCAAAATGTGCACACTAGTTAACTTGTGGTAGACATAAATGCGCACTAGTTAACTAGTGAACATATTTTGGCTTCACTAGTTAACTAGTTGACACATAAATGGCTCACTAGTTAACTAGTAAAGACCAAAATGCATACCAGTCAGCTAGTTGAAGGTTTTTGTGTCTCACTAGTTAACTAGTGATGGCCAAAATGTGCACACTAGTTAACTTGTGGTAGACATAAATGTGCACTAGTTAACTAGTGAACACATTTTGGCTTCACTAGTTAACTAGTTGTCACATAAATGGCTCACTAGTTAACTAGTAAAGGCCAAAATGCATACCAGTCAGCTAGTTGAAGGTTTTTTGTGTCTCACTAGTTAACTATTGATGGCCAAAATGTGCACACTAGTTAACTAGTGAAGGCTTAACTCCTAACTAGTTAACTAGTTGGAGTAGGTCAGTGCCACTAGTTAACTAGTGAACCATTAATGGCTCACTAGCTAGCTAGTTGATGGCAGCAGGCTCACTAGTTACCTAGTTGATGCATCCATTGTCCAAACTAGTTAACTAGTGAGGACATAAATGTATACTAGTAAACTAGTTCAAGTCTACATTCACACTAGCTAGCTAGTTGCGCAGAATTCTAATTAGGAGGCGGAGAATTTCTCAAATTAAGACTCTCTATTGGCTCCCTGTGTCAAAATAAAATATGACAACCAATCACAGTGCGGAATTTCGTAAAATCCCACCCCAAACATTTGCATGCGGCACACAAGTTAACATGCTGGCCAGAGGAACCTCAGCTAGTGAACTAGTAGTGGCTTCAGTGTGACACTTACATGTAAACTTGTGAAGGCAGAACTGCTCACTAGTTAACTAGAGAGGGTACAAATGTCCACTAGTTAACTAGTGAGGTGCAAAATAAGTGTCACTAGTTCACTAGTGGGCCCCAAATCGCCCACAAGTTAACTAGTAAGGTGCGGATATGCTCACTAGTTAACTAGTGAGGTGCAGATTTGCTCACTAGTTAACTAGTGCGCCCTAAAGCGCCCACTAGTTAACTAGTAAGGTGCAAAAAAGCATCACTAGTTAACTTGTAAAGTGCAGATATGCTCACTAGTTAACTAGTGGGCCCCAAAATGTCAACAAGTTAACTAGTAGGGTGCGGATTTGCTCACTAGTTAACTAGTGAGGCACAGATATGCTCACTAGTTAACTAGTGATGTGTGGATTTGCTCACTAGTTAACTAGTGAGGTGCAGATTTGCTCACTAGTTAACTAGTGTGCCCTAAAGCACCCACTAGTTAACTAGTAAGGTGCAAAAAAGCATCACTAGTTAACTTGTAAAGTGCAGATATGCTCACTAGTTAACTAGTGGGCCCCAAAACGCCAACTAGTTAACTAGTAGGGTGCGGATTTGCTCACTAGTTAACTAGTGAGGCACAGATATGCTCACTAGTTAACTAGTGAAGTGCGGATTTGCTTACTAGCTAACTAGTGAGGCGCGGATTTGCT